CCTTGGCAACAGCGTCAGCAAGAACGTTCCAGTAAAGCCAATCGACAGTTGGTCAAGAGGACTCTGCTCTCGTCTTTTGGTAGAATCCACCTTTGAATCTTCTCATCAAACACACTTTCTCTTTAACTTGCAGAGAGATAAACCCAGACATGAGATATAAAGCTAGTTTATTAATTCAAGCTAAGTATGTCAGTCTAGAAGTATGCGTTTGTGTACTTGTGCGATCGTATGCCTTTATATCTTGGTCTATTTCTATGCAACCAGTGGTGCTACATCAAAGTAATTTGAGCGGAACGTAAAATGTGAAAATGGAAATGGAGGTAGATAGAAGTGAGCTCATCACAGCCAGAAGATGAGCGTGTTCTGGGGGGTGGGGATTGAGTGAAGGCGGATTTGACCAATGGTTGTCGGGTGTCTTCCCTCCCTACTTCGTCTACGCTAAAAAGGCATGGAGGGTTTGATCCGATTTCCCACACCGGCCGACCTGGTCGTCGATGGCCGAGGCCCGAGACAGCCAGACACGCAAGACTGCGCTCGTCGGAAAGGGAAACGTCCAGTTGACCCCTCGAAGAGGCGGACCACCGACCAGCCCAACTCATCTGGAATGTCGACAGATGAAAACCGGACGACCGGACGACCGAACGACCGAACGGTGCATCGGTTAGTCGGTCAGTCCATCCAGACTTTGGGGCAAAATGTGGATGGGCCAATGAAGACGTCCGACCGATTGAAGACGCATTGAATCGAGCCATTTGCTACATTCCAGTTGGCCATTCGTCAAGCCAGACAACCAGTCAATCGTCGGATGCCTTAGCTGCTGTAACCCGAAAGATCCGGTCGTCAAGACTTCCTCTGGCTTTGCCCGGGTCGCGCGATTTGACGAGCCGGTAAATGTCAAGAGGGCAGTGAAGCAACTGATCGAGCGATTGCCGGACGTGCAGACGGATGGCTGAAATAACACTGTAGCCTCTGAATGTATCAGCCGACCGTTTGGGATATGTATTCACGCTC